TCTGCCTTTATATGTTACTTGACCTTTTTCCCTTACTGCTTTTAGTATTTTTTCTTTGTTTTGTGCATCTGATGTTTTGATTATTATGTGACAGGAGGTATTTTTTTTTCTGGTCTAGTCTATTTGGTGTTCTGTAGGCTTCTTGTATGTTTATGCACATCGTGTTCTTTAGGTTAGGGAAGTTTTTCTCAATAATTTTGTTGAAGATATTTATTGGCCCTTTAAGTTGGGAATCTTCACTCTCATCTATACCTATTATCCTTAGGTTTGGTCTTCCCATTGTGTCCTGGATTTCCTGGATGTTTTGGGTTAGGAGCTTTTTGCATTTTGCGTTTTCTTTGACAGTTGTGGCAATGTTTTCCATGCTATCTTCTGCACATGAGATTCTCTCTTCTATCTCTTGTATTCTGTTGATGATGCTTTCGTCTATGACTCCTGATCTCTTTCCTAGGTTTTCTATTTCCATGGTTGTCTCCCTTTGAGATTTCTTTATTGTTTCTATTTCCATTTTCAGATCCTGAATGTTTTTGTTTAATTCCTTCATAGTGTTTTCTTGTAGTTCTTTAAGGAATTTCTGTTTCCTCTTTAAGTGCTTCTACCTGTTTACTTGTGCTCTCCTGTACTTCTTTAAGGGAGTTACCTATGTCCTTTTTTAAATCCTCTATTGTCATCATGAGAAGTGATTTTAATTCTGAATCCTGCTTTTCAGGTGTGATGGGGTGTCCAGGACTTGCTATGGTGGGAGAACTGGGTACTGATGATGCCAAGAAACTTTGATTTCTGTTGTTTATGTTCTTGGGCTTGCCTTTCGCCATCTGGTTAACTCTAGTGGTACCTAGCCTCACTGTGTCTGACTGGAGTCTGTATTTCCAGTAATCTTGCTTGTATCAGAACTCCTCAGAGTCCAGATGTCTCTGTGGTCTTGTGATCCTAAGCTCCTGGGTGTAAGAACTCCTGGGACTCAGGCCACCTCTGGGATCCTGAAATCCTGCTGCTCTGAATGCAGAGGTTCCTCTAGGATGGCTCAGGATTCAGTATCTCCACAGGAGCAGACCAGCTATTTGTCTGCCTCAACCAAAAGGACCAGGCCAGGGTGGAAGGGAAGTGGAATTCCAGAGAGGCGGTGTTTGGGTGGCTGGTGGGTCTTGAGCCCCCCTGTCTCCCAGTTGTAACTCTCAACCAGTGTTTTAAAACACGTACATACAAACTTAAATGCATGTCATGCTTCTGATCATTGTTCACTGGTACATTTGTATTCTAAATTACTTTAATGTTTTCTTAATTTCAGGAAACCTTCACAGAACCAGCAGTGTTCCCGAGTATGTCTACAAGCTACACTTGGTTGAGAATGACTTTGTTGGAAGGCAGTCACCTGTCACTAGGGACTATGACATGCTTAAGGTGGGACATCAGTGAACATAACCTGTGATCAGATTATCAGGAAAGCAATTTCAGACTCTGGGGGCAGGGGGTAATTTGTCTCAAGTAGTCTCCTTTCCCAGTTTTTGAGAAAATTTGTGTAAACATTATGGAAAACTGGGACTTTAAAAGTTTAAACAATATTAAATTCTAGTACAAATAAATATGACTCAGGGTAACCCAAAGGTACTGACTTCCATTTTATTAAAAGAAATGAGCATGTTAAATTGTAATCCCAGAGTCAGTCATTAATGCTTTATTTACGTTTTATTTCTCTGTTAGGCTGGTGTGACTGCCACTTACGGAAATCGTTGGGGGAGAGGGACAGCACAGTACAGTTCCCAGAAGTCAGTGGAGGAGAGATCCTGGAGGCAGCCTCTGAGGAGACTTGAGATTTCCCCAGATAGCAGCCCAGAGAGGGCCCACTATGGGCACAGCGAATACCAGTATGCCTGGCGGAGCCATGTGGTGCCTGGTGGGCGCCTCACCCTGCCACGCTATGCTCGCTCAGAGATCCTGGGCCTGCGCCAGGCTGGCACAGCCCGCAGGCCACCTGGGTGCGGGTCACTCAGCGATGCTGTCTTCGACAGCCCTCTCAACCCTGCGATTACCACCCACCCTCCTGGCACCAGCCACAGCGCGGGCAGCCTGCTGGAGGAGACCACGGTGCGCGTGAGCCAGGCTCGGCTTCAGGGCACGCAGAGCAGAGCCGCCCGCTCTTCCTGGCCCCGAAGCTCAGTCCGCAGCACCCTGCAAGAGCCAGGAAGGATGCTGCCCACCGCAGGCCAGGCTGCGATGGGCAGCGGGGATGCGCATGGGGACAGGAGCGCCTTCGCTGGCGCCCAGCTGGGGTGAGCCTCTAAACCTGCCTCACAGTTTTATATTGTGTTTATGCATTAACTTACCTTTTGCCCCAGTCTTCTAGCATTTTGCTAATGTCCGACTTAACCCTGTATTCTCAGCACCCTAAGAGCGAGGTAGGTTCACAAAAGACCCTGTAAAAATGTATCCTGAAAGAGGAATGAAGAAATGAAAGAAGACCGAGATAAAATAACGACTTTTTGCTACCTAGATCCTTTTGTTACTTAAATTCTACAATCACTAGCCGTAGTTGTGTCAGAATATTGTTTTAACGGACAGTGTAATTTTCATAGAATATTTATAAAATATTTAATTATATTTCAAAGAGTAATCTCTTATGGAGATTCTCAAATTCTAGAGACTAGGAGGAGTTAACTCTTATTTCTGAAGGGAAAGTTTTGTTTCCCCCGGGAAAGAGAGGCAAAGAGGCATTCGTCTATCGAGGACCCAATGGCAGCTGCCTTCCTGCTGGTGTCCTGTACAAATCAGAGCCTTGGCTGCTGCCGGAAACACTTACCACGCACCTGCACGCCGCATCTTCTGCCCTTACTCTGCTGTTTCACATTTCCCTTTGGCCAGACCCTCTTTCCAGACTCTACCTTTTTATGCCCTCTGAGTATATTTTCATATGTGTGGGTCTTTCTTATGGAATATCTAAATACAACTGTAAACTTACATTGTGATGCAAAGTACTAAACTATGGGTTTATTTTCCCAGAAGATTGGAAATGTTTCAGTCAGGCAGTGGCTGATGGCAGTTGGAAACAATCTTGAGGAGACACTCAGCATGTGTCCAAAACAGACTAAAGAGAAAGGTGGTGGTTTTTTGTTTTTGTTTTTGTTTTTGTTTTTAAATTACCAAGTGAGGAGCTGGAGAGATGGCTCAGTGGTTAAGTGCACTAGCTGCTCTTCCAGACGACCCAGGTTCAATTCCCAGCACCCACATGACAGCTTTTCATTGTCCAATTCCAGGGGTTCTGACAACTTCACACAGATATACATACAGGCAAAACACCAATGCACATAAAATAAATAATAAAAGAAATCACCAAGTGAAACATTATACATGGATTTTTCTTTTTTTTTTTTTCTTTTTTTTTTTTTTTTTAAAGATTTATTTATTTATTTAATGTATTTACCATTGCTCTCTTCAGACACACCAGAAGAGGGCATCAGATCCCATTACAGATGGCTGTGAGCCACCATGTGGTTGCTGGGACTTGAACTCAGGACCTCTGGAAGAGCAGTCAGTGCTCTTAACCGCTGAGCCATCTCTCCAGCCCTACATGGATTTTTCTATAAATGAAATTTCTGTACTTCTTAGAGTTGAATAATTCAACAAATGAATCTTAGATGTCTCCAGAGTACCCTGTACTTCTATAAAGCCCTATAGAGAGAAAAACTTGGGGTGAGGATCTGGGAAAGGAAAATAAGCAGGGCGTGTTGTAAGCAACAGCTCTGTGTGGAATGATTAGAGAGTGGAGAGCAGTGCACTCTGGGATCAGAGAGAGACTAAGAAGGGTGGACCTTCAGTAAATCACCAGGCAACTTGCCACCTACAGCAGGTTGGAGCAAACAACAGGTCACACTGAGTGTCCTGAATATCATGTTTATGCTAATTATTATTCTAACAATAGGAAATCATATATCCTTATTTTTTACCATATAAAGGAGAATTCTTTACAAAGGAAAGTAAGCCCCAAAGCATCCAGCGTTTATATACCGTTTGAACCAGGGAATGGAGCCATGGAACAGAGGCCAGGAGCTGTGTCTCTGAAAGCTAACAGAGGATAAGTGTTTGTTTATTTTTTATATTTTATTTTATTTTATTTTTTATTTTTATTTTTTTTTTTTGAGACAGGGTCTCTCTGTGTAGCCCTGGCTGTCCTGGAACTCACTCTGTAGACCAGGCTGGCCTCCAACTCAGAAATCCACCTGCCTCTGCCTCCCAAGGGCTGGGATTAAAGGCGTGCGCCACCACTGCCTGGCCAAGTGTTTGTTTATTAACAGAAGATAAGTGTTAGTGCCTCTTTCAGCCTAATCACTAGCCTCTGAGGAGAAGACTATATCTTCTCTTGTGCAAGGAGGTTATCTTTCTTCTGGAAAATTTTGTGGCCTGCTTTGAGTAGCACAGGGAGGTCCAAGACTGCTTTCCTATATGTGGTTTCCAAGTACCTTTCAGTCTGACATAGTCAATAACGGAAACTGCATATTATGAGGTGATATATTCTGAAACCTCAAAGAGGTTTTTTTCTTTCTTTCTTATTTTGGACTCTAATTTTCCTGTTGGAAAAACTTGCAGTTATACTTCTGTCTCCTATTTTAATTAATAATTTGTGAAAAATAATCAGTTGTCCTTTTGTAATGGAATGCTGACCACACTGGTCATCACTAATTTTACTTACGTTGAGCGAGCATGTCATGCAGACATCAGGACCACTGAGGATGTAGCATCTTCCCATCTCTTACACATGCCTGCTTTCCACTGGGTCTTTCTTTCTAGAGTCACTTCCCAGTTGAAGGCTTGCTTTACCGTCTCAGCTCAGACTCCTGTGATGCTCTCAGAAGTGTCTGTCTCTAAGCTTTCCACTAACAGGACTGAGTCATGCCCATAGCAGCATTCTTTTCACACCTTGAACAGTCGGGCAATTTTCATGTCTTTTGACAACACTTACAGGAGCCTGATGGCTTCAGAGATGTAACCGTAGGCTATATCAGGAGATAAAGAGTGGGGAAACTGTGTGGCAGGAGTGTAAGCTGGGCATTCAACACACAAAAAATTACTAGAATTTTTTTTGAGGAGGATCATTCTTTCTATAAAGGCTCTTATTCTGACAAATAGCATTTTGTGTTTTTCCTGTTGTATTTGTTATTTACATTTGTTAATTTTTAAATTTGTATGTATATGTGTGTATGTGTATGGTGTGTGTATATATATGTGTATGGTGTATGTGTGTATGTATATGTGTGGTGTGTATATATGCGTGTGTGGTTTGTATTTATGTGGTACATGTATGTGTGTGTGGTGTGTATGTATGTGGTGTGTGTGTGCATGTGTGTATGTGTATAATGACACTGTGTATGATGTGTGTGTGTATGCATGTGTATATGTGTGTGGCATGTGAATCTATGTGTGATGTGTGTATGTATGTGTGTGGTGTGTATGTGTGTGTATATGTGTATATATGTATATGTGATATGTGTGTATGTGTATGGAGTCAGTGTGTGTTTGTGAGTCTGTGTGTGGAACATGTATGTGCATGTGGTGTGTGTCTGTGTTTGTATGATACGTGTGTGGTACGTATGTGTATATGTATTGTTGTGGAAACCATGGAAGTACACTGCTATCAAGCTTTCACCTCAGCTGAGCTACACTAAGAATCAAAATTGTTGAAGGCTCACTTTTTGAGTTCCTAGTTTAGAAGACAGGAACCTGGGAACAACTGTTCTTTCTGATCTCTCAGTTATCTCCCCAAACCCATCTAGCAAGTCAATATTTCTGTGGACCTCAAAAAGTGTTATCTTGTAGCCCACATTGGCCTTGAACTTCTGATCCTTCTGCCTCTACCTCCCAAGTCCTGGATTATAGGTTTGTGCTACCACCCTGGTACTGGGGGTTGAACACAGAGCTGAACATTGTAGCTTTGGCCTGACATCTTTTTTTAAACCAATTACAATTGTTTCCTGAATTATATTTTCAAATATGGAAACATTATACACTTCTTAGTATAGAGGACACCAGTGTTCTGCTTTTCTTTAAATACCTTTATACACATGAAGTACCTTTCAGCACAACATAAATAGTAGCCAAAACTTCATATTTTGGGGTAGCATATTCTGAGATTCTGTGTTGAAAATATATTACAGCAAATACATTATATTGCTTCTTATGTCCATACCTGCTGTATGCTTACCACCACGTGGGGCACCAGTCACAGTGCTACGTACATTCACTTCTCACGTGTGCATATAGTAATTGGCAAAGAAAGATTTTCCACACTGAACTTGCTAGCATATGTTAGAAAACAATCTCACAAGATGTCTTGGGTGTTTTACTTGGAATGAGTTAACTATAACCATGTCCATTTTAGACTATCTAACCAGTCACCTCCCAGCAGAAATTACAAAGGAAAGTATTGCTCTGAGAACTAGTTGGGGTTATGTTTCACAGGCAATGTCCTCCATAAAGGGGACCTGTAACTAAGCTGCCTACTAAGCTACAGGCGAACTTTGTTACAATGGCCAAAGGAAGGGTAGCAGAGTGGGGTTGAAGTGTTAACAAAAGGCATTTCTAGAAAGACGGTTACATATTGCTTTTCCTGACGCATCTGTCACACCAGCATGACTTATTTTACTAAAACAAAACCGAGTTTTTCTGGCAGTTGTTGTATTTTCAAGTAAAAGAGCAGATTCTGAGCAACTCTGAGAAAATCTAATTTTTTTTTTGTTTTGTTTTGTTTTTATTTTTAGGGAGATGTTTCTACTGTAGCTGTGAAATTCCCAGAGTAGTGATAATTTTTAATTTCTATGAACACATTTTCCTTAAACTATGTTTAAATGGTTATATTAGGGGGAGGGTTTGGAGTAATTGTTTTTTTGTATAATACTGTACCTATTTATCTTAGAGAGTTGCATTTCTCTTTTTAGGACACATTGTTACCCTCTTCTACAACACCTTCAGAGACCAGTTTAAGGGGAGCTAGAGATACTCTGCCTCTAGCCTGATACCCTCTGATTTCCAGGACTGATGTTTCTTAGGCTAAAGAAAATCTAGAGTGCAGATGTTATAGGTGCCTCCTAATACTGGCTAGGTCACTCACGGGAATCAAGAGAGCACGGTGTGCATTTTCACCATGTTGTCTGTGACTGTTTGTCTAGGAATGCAGACATAGAGATGACCTTGGAGCGAGCCGTGAATATGCTGGATGCAGACCATGTACCAGCGTCCAAGATCTCTGCCGCAGCTACCTTCATACAGCATGAGAGCTTCCAAAAATCTGAAGCACGAAAAAGGGTGAGTGTCTTCTAAGCCCATGTTAAATCCAGCAAAGTGTCAGTGGTATGCTGACCTTGCACACCCAAACAAGTCCTTAATGTAAATGAAAACCTTTCACTGAAGGCCGAAACAGTGCCTCCTAGTATACATAAAGCCCAACACTGCACAAACCAGAAATGTGGACACAGGCCTGTAACCCTAGCACTCAGGGTGAAAGCAAATGGATCAGAAATTCAAGTTCATTCTTGCCTACACTGGGAGTTTAAGGAGAACTTGAGTTGCACTGACCTATGGGTGTAGTGGAGTGTCATTAGGACTCATTTTATTGCTACATTCCTCTAGCAGGACAGTAATATTTGATTTTCCACTAGGTCCCTGGCCTATCTAGTCTCAGGTTCTTGGTCACCCAAGCAGTGGTGAGTGTGGGTTCCATCTCATGGAGTGGGCCTTAAATCAAATAAAAATCTTGGTTGGTTATTTCCATAAGCTTTGTGCTACTATTGTACCAGCATATATTGTAAATCTTGAAATCTGTAGCTGAGTTGGTGTTTCCTTTTCTCCTGGTAGTGTGCACAGTATTCTCCAGTGTCATAAAGACTAGTCCTTAGGTGTGAAGGTTCTAGGTGGGCACCAGCTAGACTTCTCTGTGTTTAGTGAACTATATAGGTTGTCTTGAACAATGGGGCCTTTTCTGTTATTTTGTGGATGGCAACAAATATGCAATAGCCAGAGTTGTTTAAGGAGTCCCATGGAATCCTTTTGTCCAACAACACTGTGCTGGTAGTTTTATATCAGCTTGATACAAGCTAAAGTCATTGAGAGCAGGGAACCTCAATTGACAAAATGCCTTTATTGACCAGGTCGTAGGCAAGCCTGTAAGTCATTTTCTTTATTAGTGGTTGATAGGGGAGGACTCGGCCCAGTGTGGCTGGTACCATCCCTGGGCTGGTGGTCCTGGGTTCTATAAGAAGGCAGGCTGAGCAAACCATGCAGAGCAAGCCAGTCAGCAACACCCCTCCATGGCCCGTGCACCAGCTCCTGCCTCCAGGTTCCTGCCCTGCTTGAGTTCCTGCACTCACTGCTTTTGATGATGAACCGTGACATGAAACTGTGAGTGAAATAAACCCTTTCTTCCCCAACTTGCTTTTGCTCATGAAGTTTCATCACAGCAATAGTAACCCTTACTTAGACAAGCACAATTATATGTAACCCATTCCTGCCACTGGATGTTTCTTGTGCTGACGGGAGATGTCCAGTTAGAGCTCCACTCCATCTGCCTATCATTTGGCAATTTTATTTAGACCAACGATTTCTATGTATGTATTTTAGGAAGTTTCTACTGTATTAGGTTTTCATGTGACGCTCACATGGCCCTTAGTTTTAGCTATCCCTCCCCTCCTCTTCCCTCCTGTTCCAGTGCCACCACTACCACCCTCACCCATCCATCCATTCGTATCCTCTTTCCCCTAGAGGGATGCATTTCTCCAATGTAGTCTCCCACTCTATACCTCACCTCTGTACTTATAGGGATTGTAGCCTTCTTATCAAAGAATTAACAGCAACAACCACATATAAGTGAATATATACCATATTTACCTTTTCTGAGTCTGGGTTACCTCACTTAGGATGCCTTTTTTTTTTTTTTAGCTCAGACATTTATTTGTAAATTTCAGATGTCATTTTTAAAATAAATGAGTAATATTTTATTGTGTAACTATATTAAAGTTTTACAAACTCCATTGACATCTAGGTGGTTTCTAACTTCTTTTTTTATTATTATTATTTTTTTTATTGGATGATTTATTTACATTTCCTATGTTGTCCCCTTACCCCATCCCCCACCACCCCCTCAGAACCCCCAATCCCCTCGCCCCTCCTCCTTCTTCTCTATGGATGTAACCTCTATCTACCCCCCCCACTCCCACCTCCCCACCCTCAAAATTCCCACCCCCTGGGGCATCCAGCCTTCATGAGGTCAAGGTTCTCTTCTTCCACCTATGCCCAGCAGGGCCCTCCACTTTTACATATTCAGCTGAAGCCCTGGATCCCCACCTAAGTGCTCCCAGGCTGGTGGTTTAGACCCTGGGAGCTGTGGTTGGTTGGTATTGTTGCTCTCCTCATGGTGCCGCAAATCCTTTCAGCTCCTTAAGTCTTCACTCTAACTCCTCTATTGAGAACCCCATGATCAGTTCAATGGCTAGTTGTGAGCATCTGCCTCTGAATATGTCTGACTCTTGAAGGCCTCTGAGGAGATATCCATATCAGGCTCTTATCAGCATGCACTTCCTGTCTTCCACATCAGCATCTACATTTGGTGATTGCACATGGAATAGATACTCAGGTGGAGTGGTCTTGAGACGGCCCCTCCTTCAGTTTCTGTCCCTCACTTTGTCTCCATATTTGCTCCCTTGAGTATTTTGTTGCTCCTTCTAAGAAGGACCGAATCACCCTCACTTGGTCTTCCTTCTTTATGGGCTTCATGTGGCCTGTGAGTTGCATCTTGGGCATTTCAAGGTTCTAGGCTAATATCCAATAATCAGTGAGTGAATACCATGTGTGTTCTTTTGTGATTGGCTTACCTCACTCAGGATGATAATTTCTAGTTCCATCCATTTACCTAGGAACCTCTCGAATTCATTGTTTTTAATAGCTGAGTAATACTCCATTGTGTAAATATACCACATTTTTTGAATCCATTCCTCAGTTGAAGGACATCTGGGTTCTTTCCAGCTCCTGGCTATTATAAATAAGCCTGCTATGAACATAGTTGAGCATATGTCCTTATTATATGTTCGAGCATCTTCTGGGTATATGCCTAGGAGTGGTATAGCTGGATCCTCGGGTAATGCTATGTCCAATTTTCTGAGGAACCGCCAGACTGATTTCCAAAGTGGTTGAACCATCTTGCAGTCCCACCAACAATGGAGGAGTGTTCCTCTTTCTCCAAACCCTCGCCAGCATCTACTATCACCTGAGTTTTTAATCTTAGCCATTCTGACTGGTGTGAGATGGAATCTCAGGGTTGTTTTGATTTGCATTTCCCTGACGACTAAGGATGCTGAACATTTCTTTAGATGCTTCTCGGCCATTCGAGTTTCTTCTGTTGAAAATTCTTTGTTAAGCTCTATACCCCATTTTTTAATAGGGTAATTTGGTTGTCTGGAGTCTAATTTCTTGAGTTCTTTGTATATATTGGATATTAGCCCTCTATCAGATGAAGGATTGGTAAAGATCTTTTCCCAATTTGTTGGTTGTCGTTTTGTCCTATTGACAGTGTCCTTTGCCTTACAGAAACTTTGCAATTTTATGAAGTCCCATTTGTCAATTCTCGATCTTAGAGCATATGCCATTGGAGTTCTGTTCAGGAACTTTTCCCCTGTGCCCAAGTATTCGAGGCTTTTCCCCACCTTCTCTTCTATTAGTTTCAGTGTATCTGGTTTTATGTGGAGGTCCTTTATCCACTTAGACTTGAGCTTTGTACAAGGGGATAAGAATGGATCAATTTTCAATCTTCTACATGTTGTCTTCCAGTTGAACCAGCACCATTTGTTGAAAATGCTGTCCTTTTTCCACTGGACAGTTTTAGCTCCTTTGTCAAAGATCAAGTGACCATAAGTGTGTGGGTTCATTTCTGGGTCTTCAATTCTATTCCATTGATCTTTCTGCCTGTCTCTGTACCAATACCAGGTAGTTTTTATCACTATTGCTCTGTAGTACAGCTTGAGGTCAGGGATGGTGATTCCTCCAGAAGTTCTTTTATTGTTGAGAATAGTTTTCGCTATCCTGGGTTTTTTGTTATTCCATATGAATTTGAGAATTTCCTTTTCTAACTCTGTGAAGAATTGAGTTGGGATTTTAATGGGGATTGCATTGAATCTGTAGATTGCTTTTGGCAAGATGGCCATTTTTATTATATTAATCCTGCCAATCCATGAGCATGGGAGATCTTTCCATCTTCTGAGATCTTCTTCGATTTCTTTCTTTAGGGACTTGAAGTTCTTGTCGTACAGGTCTTTCACTTGCTTGGTTAGATTCACACCAAGGTATTTCATATTATTTGCAACTATTGTGAAGGGTGTCATTTCCCTAATTTCTTTTTTAGACTGTTTATCTTTCATGTAGAGGAAGGCTACTGATTTGTTTGAGTTGATTTTATAACCAGCCACTTTGCTGAAGTTGTTTATCAGGTTTAGGAGTTCTCTGGTGGAAGTTTGGGGGTCACTTAAGTATACTATCATATCATCTGCAAATAGCGATATTTTGACTTCTTCCTTTCCTATTTGTATCCCTTTGACTTCTTTTTGTTGTCTAATTGCTCTGGCTAGGACTTCCAGTATTATATTGAATAGGTAGGGGGAGAGTGGGCAGCCTTGTCTAGTCCCTGATCTTAGTGGGATTGCTTCAAGTTTCTCTCCATTTAGCTTGATGTTGGCTACTGGTTTGCTGTAAATTGCTTTTACTATGTTTAGGTATGGGCCTTGATTTCCTGATCTTTCCAAGACTTTTATCATGAAGGGATGTTGAATTTTATCAAATGCTTTCTCAGCATCTAGTGAGATGATCATGTTGGTTTTTTCTTTAAGTTTGTTTATATAGTGTATTACATTGATGGATTTCCGAATATTGAACCATCCCTGCATTCCTGGGATAAAACCTACTTGATCATGATGGATGATTGTTTTGATGTGTTCTTGGATTCGGTTTGCTAGAATTTTATTGAGTATTTTTGGATCAATGTTCATAATGGAGATTGGTCTGAAGTTCTCTTTCTTTGTCGGGGTTTTTGTGAGGTTTGGGTATGAGTGTAAATTGTAGCTTCATAGAACGAATTGGGTAGTGTTCCTTCTGTTTCTATTTTGTGGAATAGTTTGAAGAGAATTGGTATTAGGTCTTCCTCAAAGGTCTGATAGAATTCTGCACTAAAACCATTTGGACCTGGGCTTTCCTTTAGTGGGGAGACTTTTAATGACTGCTGCTATTTCCTTAGGGGTTATGGGACTATTTAGATGGTTTATCTG